GATCCAGCAATTTGGGAACATCCAACTTCCTTCTCAATTACCTTTTGAGGCTTTCCCTCCTTATGGAGGGTGTCGCTGATGGTTTTCTGCACAATTGTCAAGTGAGCAGTCTTCCCCATGATTGGGATTCCTACTGAACCAGACTGAGAGACCATTTAAAGGCTCAGGTGTTATGGCTTACTTAGCTGATTAGAGTGGGACACTGTGAGCCTAGAATATTTTCACAATATTCTAATTTACTGAGATTGTGGTTTTGGGGTTTTCATGAGCTGTGAGCCATAATCATCGCACTTATGACAAATCACGGCTTGAACTATCTTGCTTTGCATGTAATGCGTCTATCTCATATACTAGTTTCCCCTTTTACGTTGCATTACTGAAATAAATGAACTTTTGCATGATATTCTAATTTTTCGAGTATCACCTGTATATATATCTGTGTAATTTCATTCTAAGTGTATTTTGATAGATGGTGTTTTTGACACTATACATGTTTGTGTTCCTGACCCTATAGTGTTTCTTTAATGTCGATGTTCTGGTATAGTATAGTCAGTCTCTGCAGGCTTTTTGCAGTAGACACTGCCTTTTCAGACAAAAAGGCAGTGTTTACATTACAGTAAAACAATCAAAAACAGTAAGGTGTACAGTACACCAACCAAAGTAGTGGAGTGTGTATGGTGTACTACAAAATATACCTACCCTTATGTTGGGATGTAGGGATTGGGCTACAAAAATGGAAAAAAGGGACTAAGTGTAATAACGTCAGATATATAAGTGGCTATAGGTGTCCAATGGTCCAACTCACATGGGAATGAGCCTTCCAGGACCGGCTCAGATCGTATAGGCAGAAGTGTACTAGGTGACACAATCGCCTCTTGATACCAGAATACTTCAACAACCTTTTTTTATTTATTTATTTTTTTACTAACCCTTTCTTTAATCTATTTTTTTGAATTACGTATTTTTCCCGTGCATCAGACTTTTTTTCTAAAAAATTTTAGTCTAAAATTGGGGGTCGTCTTATACATGAAATTTCACTGCTGGGGTTAAAATAAACAACAACAAAAAAAACTCTTGAGCGCGGGGCCTGACAGCCAACCAAGCTAGTCGCATGTGGTTGGAGCTCCGTCAAAAAACTAATTATTAAACCAAATACATGGCTACTCGCTGACAGAACACTCAGCTGACTGCTGGGTTCACTACTGCCAGGTTCCTGTAGGCATAGGCTGTGCTGCACACGTCTGTGACCTGCTGACATACTTGAGGCAGAGGAGGTGCTTTTCTGTGAATTTGATCGATTTGATAATCACATAATGCTGATGATATCATTGGTGAAAGGACAGTTTATTTCTGAAAAATGCAAAAAACAAATATGAAGGCTAATTTTGGTCAGGGTTTGTGACTAAGTGCTTAATAAAAAATGCTGGACATACCCAAATTTGAATACCCAGGGTTGTCTACTTTTGCAAATGGTATAGCATGATAATGGTAATTTTCATTCCTATGCTGCCATATGTTCTCAAAGGCAACATATGCCCAGCAAACCAATCTAGCAAATTTCAATGTGTACAAACTGAAAAGTAAGAAAGCTCTATATCTGACCTTATAACTTACTAAACCCACATGAAACCTGTACATGGTACTGTTATATTCACGAGACATCGCTGAACACAAATATGTGTAATTTATTGCAGTAAAAGCCAAGGTATGATATTCATAGTTAAAATAAATGCCGGGGAGCGCGGAGCCAGCAGCTAACCAGAGCAGACATGCGACAGACTAGCTGCGCTAAAATAAGCCATCCAAATTATACTATATTCGACCCAAATCAAACTATTACAAGATGGGGAAGAAATCTAAGCACTCACGATATCGGGGACCTTTTCCTCCGTCCCGCTAAGGCCTCAGGAACTCCTGCGCCAAAAGAAAATGGCAACACAACCTCGGCCTCCTCCGAAGAACAAGCATTGGATGAGCTGGACGAGTTCCCAAACACTGGGGGATTACACCACCCCTTCTCGGATGAGGAAAAGGAGTTGCCCTCCACTAAAGGAGATCTAAGAGCCCTTCTCCGCCATATCCACACAATGTTTGCAGCAGACCTAGCCACAATGGGGAAGGAGATACGCGCTATGGAAGGGCGAGTCTACAAAGTAGAGAGGAGGACGTGCAGGGCCTCACTACACGTCGCATACAGATAGGAGCACAAAACGCTGAGTTACATCGAACCCAGTCCTTGCTTACCAACCACTTGGACGCAATGGAGGATCGGCACAGGAGCCGGCATGTCAAAATATGGGGTATCACAGAGACGGTGACCCCGGAAGAACTAACACAATATACCAGGAGACTCCTCACCTCACTACTTACACAACAGCAGGCGACACAAGCCATGACCGACGGGGTCTATTGCATCCCGAGAGCTACCAGAGCCCCAGCAGACTCCCCAAGAGATGTCATGCTACAGCTCCAGACAAGGTCAGCCCCACTGAACTTCATGGCAGCAGTGCAAGGAAATTCTATTTAAGACCTGTCCAGGCCTACCTTGGTATGGAGAAGCCTGTTCAGGCAGCTGACCACCGCGCTGCGCCAACATTCTATCCCATACCACTGGGCATTCCCCAGGAGCCTGGTCATCATGCATGGTGGTGCAACATATCGCATAACCCATGCATTGGAAATGGACTCAGTGCTGACAGCACTAGGACTGTCACCAAATTCGGATCTGACCACTTACGCATCGAGACAAAAGCCCACACACACCTGGGACATGTCCAAAGTAAATCATTTCCATTTGCCAGCCGGAACTACCACCCCACCCTCTACCGCATTCAAAGTGCAAAGGGCTAACCGGCACTCAACGGACACCTAAGACCCAGAAGGGAACGCATGGGAGCTGGCTGAAAGTACTGTTCATCCAATTTTATTTTTATTTGATTTAGCCAGAAGACAGCAGATGCTTTTTAGACTCTATAGGGTCCCATACTCATTAATTCACAATCTCTACTTTTTACTCAAAGCATTAACAAGAGCATCCTATCATTTAGCATAACCAACACAATCTAATGGTAGAAAATAAAAAAAAATTCTGGTTCCCTATTTCCTCTAAAAATGTACAATAAACATCAAACTAACAAGCTACCATGAGAGAACAATGGTTTGACGTACATACTTAGCCTATCAAACCACAAAAAAATACAAATTGAAAATCACAGGAACAAAATGTCTAAAACGCATTTTCAGGTTCATTTATCTAGCACAAAATGTCATGCACAAGAGCCAAATTCATTAAAGTAAATAAGAAACAGCTAGATGCAATATAATAGATGATTTGCTCAGCGTTTCAAGTTTCAAACATACATTGAAAATATAATACATACAGTTTTGTGATTTGACTTACTTGCAAACACAGCTTTACATCTGTTTCACATTAACGGTTGAAACTGGTTTTTCATAAGACAATGTAGGAATATGTCTGGAAGGATTTAGGTTAAAGGCACGTCTTTGTATACAGACCTAAAACTGAAAAAAAGATATTAATATTTCATTCAATTTCTCACACTTTGAGGATTTTCATACTTCCACATTAAATTGTTGAATCGTATGTACTCCATTATGTTTTCGTTTACTGATGAGTTGCCAAGGACTATAGTCTTGGAGCATAGAAACTGTAAATATGCCTTAGTGTAAACTGCATACATTCAAGATTATTACAGCAATGTTCTTGAAAGAGTTGGGACCTCTGCTTTACCATATCCAAAAGCACCTATTGTTATACTCAAAGACATCTTGACAGAGACCTAATATGAGGTGTGGTCAAAGCACTGCATCCATCACTGGATGATTGAATATGCCTTTGGGAACATAAAGGTTTCTAGACTAAACTGGGAACTGCAGAGAATTTGAGGAACTGGCATGTTTTAGGCCCAAAACAGCCATCTTGGTAAAACAGAAATTTCCAGTTAAGTTATTTATGACTAAAATATGAAGAATTTTTCTTGTTTAAATAATTGTGTATTTGGTCTTATATACACATCTATTTCCAAGTGGATTGTCTTCATTTTGTTTTAAATTCCATTATTTTTCCAAAACGAGACCTCTGATTGCTATTACTCTAAAAAAATGTCAGATATTGTTTAACCCATACAGGATATTACTGTCTCCAACCCTAACCAGGTGGCTCTCAGAATTTACATATTGAAGGATTCTATAACTGCGTAAAAAGAAGGGGGGGTGGGGGGGGGAATCACTATAACCCTAGGAATACAAACATGTATTACAATACTAACACTATAGTAACGTGCTAGCTGTTCAGATTACTCAGATTGAGGAGTATAATGGCAGTTTTACTAATATTTTTTTTCTGCTGTGGTGCTCTCTTCACAGACACTGCACTTCCATGGATGAGATCATCAATACTAATTAACTCAGTATTCATTAAAAGGTTAGTCACCTGTGAAGCAAAACACAGGAGCAGCATTTGGCTGAAAGTCAGGTTTGACTTGGTTTGCACAGGGGAAGCACCTCCAGTGGCTGTCAGGAAGTCAGCCATTAAAGATGTGTTTAACCTTGCAATGGAAACAATGCAGTTTCTACAAAACTGCAATGTTTTACATTGCAGGGTTAATATTCAAGGGCTACTGCACCCAGACCACTTGAGATGTAGTGGACTTGGCGCCTTTAATTGAATAATTCTTCAAACAAACCAGATGCTAAATGCATTGTCTTGAGTGAGAAAAACACTCCAAGCACCTAAAGCGTGCACAATTTATTTATTTTTTTAACTCAAAAATGACAGATTTCAATTAAAAAAATGTGTCACTTTTATAAATTAACCTTGCTACACTTCCCAGTTGTCTAATGGCAGGCATAAGCACCATACTCACTACTGTACAGATCACTGCAGTGGATATAGTGTCAGCATGGTAGTGTCCCACTGGCTCGCTCTTAAATTGAGTGTTTAAACCGAGGTTACCCTTGGAACCTGTGTACATTTGCTCTGGCATACTGCTAAGGCAAAAGTTATACTTCCACCTTCGCCATATCAGTTTTGTCCAAGTTTGGATGACATGCATTGGCGGGGTGCATCAGCTGACCCTCTTAGCCAGTGGATGCAATCTAAGGGAGTTGATATTGCTGTTGCACAACGTCTGCACGAGCATGATGCCAAGCAGGGAACTGGGACCCGAGCACCCTCAGTTTGTCCCCAATTGCTTGAAAATAATTTAAGAACCAGTATACGATGCTAGTGGCTAGTAGCGTAGAATTTTCCTTTAACCGTATGAGCAGAGTCCCCACATCAACTTTCCATAGTTTCCCCCAACGTCTTGGAATCAGGGGCTTTGTGAAAAGTTCCTTTATCCATTAACATAGCCTTACAAAGAGCAAATATGGATTTAAAACTCTATCCCTTTAATCTACAAGAAAAAAACAAAACAACTTGTATTACCTGGTGTACTTGACAAACTGCAATGGTTTTGGAGATTCAGCAATAAAATTCACTCCAGACTAATTTATTTCGTCTGTCAGCACAGTGATTGAGCACACCAGTCTGTGTAAAGCAGAGAACAGATGGGGGGAAATAGCTGAACACTGCAGGAACATACCAGCCAAATGAGAGAGAAGCTTTTGGGGTGGAAAAACATGGAAGGGAAGAAACACAACAGCATTGTTTACTGTAAAAACTCAAATTTACCACCAACACCACAGCACTACAAATCACAAAAGTTATATACTAAAATGTGCGACCTATTGGGAATTCAAAGTTTGGCCCAAAAAATCCAAGTCAGCTGGTTTTTCAGTTTGAGTTCCTGATAAGTCATTTTATGGAATAAGGTTGGCAGAGTTGTATACATTACAGGATCAAGGCAAGTACATAGACACTTCCAAATATTCCAAGATTTTCAGTAGTAGTTTGGTGCCCACAACCTTTCTTTTCTCTCTCTGGTGTCCTTTTCCCGGGATATCAGAGAAATGTTCCCAACACATTCAGTGTGCGCATGTTGTGCATAGGATTTCTGATGCTTCAGCAGTATTGTGTGCATGGGCAGCTCAGGCTGGTAGGCATTTAAGCTCTTTTTTCAGCTGCACACCACTGTTTCATTGACATTCACCCCATTCTGGTCCCATCTTTCTTGTCTCGATTTCATTCTGCACTGTGTTGGACAATATGTGACAGTGATGTTACAGTGCAAAGATAACAGGGGGCATAGGATAGATTTTGTATACATGTATACAAAAATCGTAATTGTATATGTGTACATATACAGTACACATGTACCAACGGGTTTGTTCATTGATGTCCAATTTGGAACCACAGAGAAAAGTATACAGTTAGTGCAGTACAAGAGCATCACTAGTTGTACCCCTATCGTGCAACTTTTAAACTCAGGGCATGGAACCTATGCAAGAGGGCTTCTTCAGCACACTGTGTATGGGCTAACGGCTAACCTGAGTGGAGCCGGACGTGATGCACATCATATCACTACTATTCCCCATCTTAGATTAATATGTTCGCATTGTTGGAAAGCAAGCATTTACATGATAATTGTTTATTCCAATTTTGATTGCGTTTAAAGGAACACTCCAAGCGCCATAACCACGTCAGTCTCCTAGTTTTTTTATCAAAAATTTTGTAGTAGTTTGACAAATCCAGTGGCTTTATTCAGTATAGCCCGATGTCTCTGTAGCCACAAAGATACTGTAGAAACTATACTTCTGCATTGTACATACAAATGCACCCAAAATGTGCAGTAATGTTAGTCTGAAATACGTATTCTAAGTCACCCCTACACATGTACTCTCAGCCTATCATTGTAATTCACGGCTGCACAGGTTCATACAGCCTCTGTATAAGTGTAATAACCTCATTATCCATGAGGGCTGTGGATTTTCCGGCAGAGCCCCAGGTTACCCCATATCCCAGGGCTCGACAAATCCCATTCAGAGGTGACCGTCTGCCTGTGATTGGAGGTGTAGAGGCCGCTCATGCAGAGCGGAGGCGGGCAGGCAGGCGAGCAGGCAGCCAGCTCAGGGAGAGAGGAGGTGGAGAGGGAGCTGTCCCGGCTCTGCTCCCACGCGAGCCCTCCAATGATACCAAGAGCTAAAATATGAGGTCACTCCAGCCACGAGATCATTAAACAGCGCTCTAGGGAGCAGAGCAAGAAGATTGTTAGAGCAGCCCCACTGGACTCCAGGGAAATCCGATCCACTCCAGTTTTCCCAAAGGCAGGGAGACTGGGTGGACAAATTTAAATAAAACAGAATAATAATTTGTGAGTGTATGAGAAAATGTATGTGAGTGTTGCAGTAACAGTCTCTGTGTTTCTCAGTGTGGGTGGCCAATCAACATCTCCTTGTGGAGACACACTGAATCAATGTGCCTCTAATGGGGGAACATTCAGCACCTCCATGCAGAGCATGAAGATGCTGAACGTATATGCTGCACAACCAACAAAGCACCTCTAGTAGACTTCTCAGTGACTGTGACTAGAGGTATTACTAGGAAGCAATGTAAACACTGCCTTTTGTCTGAAAAGGCCGTGTTTAAATTGAAAAGCGTGCTGGTACTTAAGACTTAAGAACAACTACATTAAAGGGAAACTCCAGTGCCAGGAAAACAATCAGTTTTCCTGGCACTGCAGGTTCCCCCTCCCGCCCACCCCCCAATCCCCGGTTGCTGAAGGGGTGAAAACCCCTTCAGTGACTTACCAGAGGCAGCAACATGTCCTATGTCGCTGCTTCATCCTCCGCCACTGCTCCTCCTCTGCATTACGTCGGCCGGTGGGCGAGACTGCTCCCGCCCACCGGCTGGGGAGACCTAATGCACATGTGCAGCAATGCCGTGCATGCGCATTAGAGCTCCGCATAGGAAAGCATTGAAAATGCTTTTCAATGCTTTCCTATGGGGAATTGAGCGACGCTGGAGGTCCTCACACAGCGTGAAGACGTCCAGCGACACGCTAGCACAGGTTTATCTGTGCTATGAAGCAGGAAGTGCCCTCTAGTGGCTGTCTAGTAGACAGCCACTAGAGGTGGAGTTAACCCTGCAAGGTAATTATTGCAGTTTATAAAAAAAAATTCCAATAATTACACTTGTAGGGTTAAGAGTAGTCGGAGTTGGCATACAGACCACTCCAATGGGCGGAAGTGGTCTGGGTGTCTGGAGTGTCCCTTTAAGCTGTGGTGTTTCTGGTGACTATAGCGTCCCTTTAAGAATTGTATTTTTGACTTTGAAAAATCTGTCTCCTAACTTTTTTAGCTGGCTCCTAGAGTTCAAGCAAATTTGTCAAACCCTGCTTATAGCACCAATGAGCTCCAGTGTTATTAGAGTGGCCTTTAAATTAACGTTTATATATTTGAGATCACAAATACACAAAAAAAAGACGGAAGTCCTTCAAAAATCAAAGCATGCAAAGGAAGAAGTGGCTAAAGTGGCTGTCTAAAGGTTGGTTTCCCAGCAAAATAAAAACATTGCTATTTCTCAGAAACACCAATGTTTTACCGGTCAGACTAAAGGATCTAAAGATCTAGTGGTTTTGGTGCTTAGGGTGCCCCTTGAACAGCACCAGTGGAGTCCTAGTATCCTAAACACTACAGTGAAGCAAGAGCTGTACTTTAATATACACATTTTAGAAAAATGCCTAGTTAATCTGACAACAGGGTGTTATTTTTATTATTACAAAACAAAGTGCAAGATTTATCAAAGTAAAACTGGTGCTATGTTGAGTGCAAACTGCCAAATGTTAAGACATATTCTAATACCTCCCAACAAAGGAAGTCCTGTAAAGTGGGACATGGGTGGACAAGCCTGTGCCTGTGATGCAACCTGTCACTAATGCCACCCAAAGGGTCAAATGCACTTGAAAAAGAGGCCACCTGAATTAGGGTCACTGCCAATCAGATTTACTAGCATCATTAATGGCATACCTGATAACCAGGGGTAGGAAACATTTGGCACTTCAAATGTTGTGGACTATATCTCCCATAATGCTGTTAAAGCATTAAGGGAGGTGTAGTCAAAACATCTGGAGTACCAAAGGTTGCCAACCCATGCCCTAAACAGAGTGTTCGCTTAGCATGAGTGGGTTTAATGAAGTAATAAAGTGCTCACACTACACATTCTGTGGACAGTTCCCTGAAAAGCAGGACATTAGGAACAAGGAACAAACATGTCTTTCTAACACTATAGTGTCCTCCGACCTAGGTAGGTGTCCCCTCCTACATACTTACCTTACATTCCATGGCACACTGGTCACTGTATTGCCACTCCCCTTCCTGGCTCAGATCATCAAGGTTAGTGATCTCAGCCAATCCAATGCTTCCCCATAGGTAGGCTAATGTGCATACACATGTAAAACAATGTGCTGTGCCAAAGAAATGTTCTCTGTGAGACTCGTTTTATCTATAACCAAGTTTAATTCAGTTATAGCTGTGGAAGCCCTGCTAGTGCCGGTCAGTTAGCCACTAACGTCGTAACACTATAGTCACCAAAACAACTTTAGCTTAATGAAGCAATTTTCGTGTACGGATCATGCCTCTGAATTTTCACTGCCATTTATGGGTTAAATCACTTTGTTTCTGTTTATGCAGCCCTTGCCACACCTCCCCTGGCTCTGACTGACACAGCCAGCATGGGGAAAAATGGTTTAACTATCAATCAGATATTACTTAGCTTAAAAGATGTTGTTATCTCCTGCTCTGTAAATTAAACTTTAATTGCATACAGGAGGCCCCTGTAAGGTCTAGCACAGGGGTTCTCAACATTAGTCCTCAGGACCCCCTACCAGTCCAGGGTTTAGGGATTACCTGGGTGTGTCTAATGTGTTTAGAAAAAGAAAAAAAAAACACCCTAGAGTCTAAGGTATTTTTTCCCCTTTTTCTAAACACCTGAGACACACCCAGGTAATCCCCAAATCCTGGACTGGTAGGGGGTCCTGAGGACTGGGTTGAGAACCCCTGGTCTAGCAGCTATTAACAGAGCAGGATATAAGAAAATCTAAATTAAACAGTGAAGGAGGGATAAATATGTGATGACTCATTACAGGAAGTGTTTTGGGAGGCTGTGCAAGTCACATGCAGGGGGGTGTGACTAGGGTGCATAAACAAAGTGATTTAACACCTAAACTGCAAAGAATTGAGTAGGGATACTTGCGGAGGCATGATCTATACACCAAAACTGCTTCATTAAGGTAAAGTTGTTTGGGGGACTATAGTGTCCCTTTATCTCTGCATTTAAAACATTGTCATCCCTGCAAAATGTCAATGTTTCGATTACAGGATTAAGACGACAATGGAGATTAAGTGGTCTTGGTGCCTACAGAAACCCATTAGGCAGGCCTATCCCGTTTGATTGCAGAAATTTGGAAAACATGCCATAGGTCTCCCCAGAACATTATTTGCCAGTAATGGAAGGGTACACAACAATTACCCAATGAGGCTTGCTGAGTAAGTAGGTGGCTTGCTCCCTTAGGATTCAGAGGTGAATTGTGCTTATGCAGACATCTATAGAGCTCTGCCAATTAACATATTATATGGTCCCCCTGTTAGTCAGTTACAGCCTGTGAATATTCAATGGAAGGTAGAAATAAACAGACAGGTGCCTGAGCAAGGTAGAAATGGAAACAGTAAACATTAGCACAAATTACACTCTGTTATTTCAGATGCCCCACTTGGCATTTCTACCTACTTCACTTCCAAACTATTGCTTCCTTCATGCAGCATGTAACTACAAAGCCAGAACTCACTCTCCTGTAACGCTGGGCGCAATAACAGTCACATGGTATGTGTTTAGTACATGTTATTATCATATGTCACTGAATTCTAAGCACTAGAGGAGGCACTTTAACGTACCACTCCGCCTTGTTACCTTGCACAACACGTCTCCAGCAACAGCCATTCGGCCGGAGACCACACTATATAGCAGTGAATGGATTAGGCTCCTCCAAAATGTCTCCTAGAGGGAATCTCTGTATGTCAGTCATTACTTCTCTACTGCTTAGAGCTCTGATCCTGGTGTTGCTACCTTGGTGTACCAGTATTAGCGCTCCTGACAGTCAGGAGACACTGTGACACTGTGTGGGCAAAGGTTAGAAATAGGAGATACAGACAAGTGAATGCGGCGCGATTATATTAGCAAACGGAAACAAAGAGCAGGAAAGACTCACAGTGGTGTAACAAAGTAAAATCAAGGTTTATAAATAAATATGTCATAATGTTAAGAAATAAGTTAACAATGACCCAGAATAGAGTGCAAAGTTACAAGAGCAGTGTAGTTTTGCAAAGTTCTAACAACAGGAGCAAAATAATATAATTCATTCAAATTTTATTTTGCTTGTTTACTTATTTCTAAAATCATAACATGCTGTTTTAATGTGTTGCTGGTAAAGCAATAATATTCATCTAAGTGCGGGGGGTCACCGTTCTCTGGCTTCTTAAGGACTGCAATTCCCATGCTGTCTAATCACCATAGGAGTTGTAGTTTAAAAAAAAAAATGGGCTTCCACCTTTTGGCCAAATTGAAATTAAATGGTGTACCCTTTATAATATTACTGATGAATTGTTAAAGCTGCCTATTTTGTGTTTGCCAATTGTATGTTGCCATAGACAGTCCTGCATATGTTGGTTTCAGATATAACTGATGATAATGTTTTATGTGTAAGCCTAAATCATCCCATATGTTCTAGTTCTACGGAATGTATAATATTCTAGTTCCTAGTACACATCATTGTAAAATAAACACACCTTTAGTGGTTAATTTCCTGACAGATACTTTAGGATGCTTACGCACTAGAGAGTTTTATTTGGTTATGGGACAGTGGAAGCATTTTAATGGGTGTCATAGTGCATGTGCTTCTTGTCTCAATGCTTCTCTATGAAGCATTGGATTGGAACGAGAAGCCAGGAAGGGACACCTCCAGGATGATGTCTTGGGTGGAGGAGCAGGAGGCAGTTAGTATCGCCTCTGGAAAAAAGTAACTAAAACATTTTTTGCTTTAGATTTTTTTTTCTTCATTTATTTAAGTTAGAGGAGCCCAAAAATGTTAACGGTGAGGAGACACCATAGCGCAGTCATGTCTAAAGTTCGGCCCGTGGGCCGTTTGTGACCCGCGTTCCGGTTTAATACGGCCTCACAGTTAATTCGGTAAATCTATCTGTTGTGGCCCCCAGTGAATCCCCAAGCGCCGCTCAGGACCCCCAGGATCTCTGGATCTTTGAACGCCGCGGTCCTGAGTGGCGCTCGGGTATTCACTGGGGGCCAAGAGATCGCGAGAATGCAGACGGACATGCAGTGACCTCAGTCTGCTTTCTCGCAATATCTTGGACGTCACGGGATTCGCTGGATTTGGTGCTCGCAATCGCGGGGTTTGGTTCCTTCTCTATGCTGGGACAGAAAGAGAGAATGAACAGAATAAAGAGGGACAGAATAAAGAGAGAATGGACGGAATAAAGAAACAGAATAAAGAGATGATGAAATAAAAACTATGCCGTTTGCAATAAACTTTGCATAAAATAGTTAATTTGCATTCAATTTTAATGGTTCAAAGAATGTCAGGCAAAATGGTTGGCCCTCACACATGTTCACTTCATCAAATCTGGCCTTCTTTGAAAAAAGTTGGGACACCCCTGCTATAGCGTATACAGGTTTGTATTTGTAATGCTATAGTGTTCCTTAAACTGCCAGAAGTGCAAAGTGCATGACAAATTCTATGTCAAAATAATTGAACTGAAAACATAGTTGATTTGAATAATGTTCACAGTTCGGCTATTTTACCCTAACATTTTAAAATCACTTTAAATGGGTTTATTCACCCAACAGACAATTGTAGTGAATCAAAACCAATTATGTAAACTTTAGACTAACATTGCTGATATGAAAGAATTTTCCAAATCAGATGTAGTCTAAAATTTGCTATTCGGTGTTCATGTTTTATGTATAAACCCCCAAGTGAGTAAACCTTATTTGAGAGAGATCATGATTCCTAATTAGCTTAAATAATGCATTTTGGTTTACTTTTACTGCAATTCACTGTTTGGTGACTAAAACCTTTTTGGGGATATTCATTAATCCAGGATTTGTGGAGAACTGACTGTGTAATGCCAAAATAACACAACTGGAAAAAAAAATCTTTTTAGGTTTGTGAGGTTAATTTGTAAGGTCCCTATTAATTTACAGACCGCTGTGTACTCTTGCCATACTGCCGGATAAATATAGCTAAGAAAGTCTAAGTAGAGTTTCTATATCTACCGTGTTTTCCTAGAAACCATTCACTTTCCAGACCTGCCCCATTTATTAGGTCTGATATTGGGTGGGTGGAAATTCCACCACACAGTAGGTGTCCGAATATACCTCCCACAAAGAGACTCATCATCCCTGCTAGAGACTGCAAGGAATTAAAAGGATACTATAGGCACCCAGACCACTTTGTCTCATTGAAGTGGTCTGGGTGAAGTGCCCTGGTCCTCTTAACCCTGCAATGTAAAACAATGCAGGGTTAAGACAACATCCAGGCCCGGTTGCTTTTAGGGCTGCGTCAACCGACTGAGCCCTTGTTTAGTAGTAATACCCATCAGATGGCCCTAAGTGCATGTACCACTTATTTATTTATTTCTAAAATATTTTACCAGGAAAGATACATTGAGATTTCTCTTGTTTTCAAGTATGTCCTGGGTCCACAAAACATTGCATTGATACAATAGGGTACAATAAAATATAAAAACAATATTAATACACAATAAATACAAACTTTAACATAGAACAGGTAGGAAATATATAATCAACCATGACAGGTGCATTCTGTTTTGAGGTATGTAGAGAGGGATCTCTTAAAGGACTTTAGGCTTAGGGAAGATTTTAAATTGTGCGGGAGGTCGTTTCACAATTGCGGTGCTCTGTAGGAGAAGGAGGATCGGGCCATTTTCCTTTTGTATTGAGGTAGACTTAATAAAGTGTGGGTACTGGATCGGAGGTTATATGAAGTGGGAACAGCTGGGGAAAGCATTTTGTTCGGGTAGGGTGGGAGTTTCCCAGAAAAGCTCTTAAACACAAGGCTGGAAAGATGAAGGGTGCGTCTGGATTCCAGCGACAGCCAGTTTAATTGTTTTAGCATGTCACAATGGTGGGTCCTGTAATTACATTGTAGCACAAATCGGCAGAACGGGTTATACAATGTATTCAGTTTATTAATGTGGGATTGCGATGCAGATGCATATACTACATCCCCATAATCAATGATTGGCCTCAGCATTTGCTGTACAATCTTTTCCTTTACTTAAGCCATCGGCTGCACCGGTGGGAGTTTCGCCACTGGTGCCAAGGTCAAGAGTTGGGTTATACAGAGATACAAGGCAGGGGGGTAGAGTCTAGCATCCCACTATCTTGAAATGTCACCAGATGTCCCAGCATG